TCAAAAATACAAATAAAAATATACTAAAATAAGGGCTATTGATAAAGAGGATAACGAAAAAAAGAGGTAAGAAGAGATTCTTCCACCCGCCATATATTTGATCGCTTCTCCTACAAAGAAATTTGTAATACCAACTGCATTCGTGACTCCATCAATTATCCGTTGATCAAAAAAATGAGTGGATTCAGCTAATCCTCGTATACCTCTAGTTAAGATTGTTGCATAATAAAGATCTATGTAACCGCGATTATATGACCAATTGTATATGACATTTAGTGCTTGGTCCGAAAAGATTCTTATCTTAGTATATATCTTTGCAAATGAGTTGATTAAGTCCAAATTCTGGAAAGATGAATGAACAGACCCATATAAAAGATTGGCTATTAATATTCCAAAAAAGGCTATACTGACTGAATAAATTGCATTTTGTGCAAATTCATACCAATCCGCCGAAGGATTCAAATACTCATGAAAAAGGTCCATTGATATTGATGGAATTAACCATTTTGATAACACGTCAAAGTCCGTTACTCCTTGACCGAAACGAATTCCTACGGACCCAACGAACAAAGTCAATATGGCCAATAAAAGTAAGGGGAATAACATAGTATTGTCCGATTCGTGGGGATAGGGAAAGGTTTCTTTTTTGACAAAATGAGTGCTAAAGGATCGCATTTTTATTACATCTCTATCAATCTGATATATCTTATTCTTATTCAAAAAAGAAGAAACTTTTTCATTTTGATTATTATTCATTGATAATAAAATCAAATTTCTGCTAAAAACTTCTGGTCCTTCTTTCCCCCATATAGATATTGAATACAAGGAACTATTTGTATCACCTTTAAAATGAACGCGTAAATGCCCTTCAAAAGTAAGTAAATACATACGAAACATATAAAATGCAGTTAATCCTGTTGTAGAAGAAGCTATTATCGCGAAAATTGGCGAATACAACCAACTATTATTAAGAATTTCATCTTTGGACCAGAAACAAGCAAGGGGTGGAATACCACAAAGGGAGAGCGTACCTAACAAAAAAGTAGCCTTTGTTATCGGCACATATTTACTTAAACCACCCATAAAAACCATGTTCTGGCTTTTATCTGGAGAATACCCAAGAATAGGTTCCATAGAATGAATAATTGATCCAGATCCTAAAAACAATAATGCTTTCGAATAGGCATGAGTGATTGAATGGAATAAAGCGGCTCGATAAGAACCTATACCTGAAGCCAACATAATATAACCCAGTTGAGACATCGTAGAATAAGCTAAACTTCTTTTAATGTCCTTTTGAGCAAGAGCCAAAGTGGCTCCTAATAGTACTGTTATTACACCTATCAAAGAAATAAGATTCATTATGTAGGGTATAACTGTCAAAAGAGGAAGAAGCCGAGCTACAAGAAAAATTCCTGCTGCTACCATAGTAGCAGCATGTATAAGAGCCGAAATAGGAGTTGGTCCCTCCATGGCATCAGGTAACCATACATGAAGGGGGAATTGTGCGGATTTAGCAACTGCACCCAGGAATAATAAGGAGGCGCACAGAATAGCAAAAGAGGAATTCAACACATTATTATCGATATTATCGATTGAATCATTGAATATATCAAACAAATCCCGAAATTCGAAACTACCCGCTATCCAATAAAGACCTAAGATTCCTAATAATAAACCAAAATCCCCTACACGATTAGTTACAAACGCTTTTTGACAAGCATTTGCTGCACTTGGTCGAGTAAACCAAAAACCTATTGATAGATACGAACACATTCCCACAAGTTCCCAGAAAATATAGATTTGTATCAAATTGGGACTAATAACTAACCCCAACATTGAAGTATTGAAAAAACTCATATAAGCAAAAAATCTTAAATATCCCTTATCATGAGACATATAATTATCACTATAGATAAGAACCATCATTCCAACAGTAGCAATTAATATTGACATAATAGAAGTAAGTGAATCGATCAAATAGCCGAACTCTAAGGAAGAATCACTATTGATGGTCCAGGACCATAGATATTGATAAATCGAATTACCATTTATTTGCTGAATAGACAAATTGGTAGAAAAAACCATAACTATACTTAACAATAAAACACTGGGAAAAGCCCATATCCGACGAATACTTTTTGTTGCCGGGGGAACAAGCAGGAGTCCCAATCCTATCAAAATAGGAACTGCAAGCGTAAGGAAGGGTATGATCCATGCATATTGATATGTACGTTCCATAGAAAAATTAAACTTTTTTTATTCTTATCAAATGTTCCCGATTCACCAACTATTATTTATTTTTTTTTCTTGATTATTACTCCTTCCGAAAAAAAAAAGAGAGGCTACTACTTTCTTTATATTATTTACTTATTTATTTATAATTATATAATTTATATAGATTTTATTACATTTTTTTAACAATAACAAAATATTTAACAAATAACAAAAGGAAAGTAGAAAAAAAATAGTTTTTTGCGAGGGTTATGTTTAGAGAATCACATGGTCTTTTTTAACTTTTATCTTTTCGATCTCCTAGTGATCCTATAGATAAAAGACAAGAGAAACAAAATATGATGTGCGCATACACGACGGTATGGAAGAAGTATCATCTACAGAATAAGTATAGATAAGCATATGAATAAAAAAATCCATTTTCAACAATAAATGTCTTTCACGTTCAACTAATAAATAAGTAACCTTTTTTTGAATGGCAGTCCCAAAGAAACGTACTTCTATGTCAAAAAAGCATATTCGTAGAAATTATTGGAAGAGAAAGGGATATAAAGCCGCGGTAAAAGCTTTTTCTTTAGGTAAATCTGTTTCTACCGGGCATTCAAAAAGTTTTTTTGTGCAACAAACAACAACAAAAACAAACAAATAATAAACCCTTGGAATCATCTGAATCAACATGGCTCGATGAATGAATTCCATGATTTATAGGATAAATAATTCGGATCTAATGAATATGTTTAAACGCATCATTATAGTAGATGGACCTGTATGTTTTAATATCTAGAATAAGACTTCTTCTGTCTAATCTAATGGGCCCTAATCTTAGAATCTTATGTTAGAAGGAGCACTTGTTTCTTTTGTTTGAAACATAAAATTGAAAAAAAAAAAGAAGAGATTGAACACAAGATACAAGGGTTTTATTTTAAATATTTCATTTGAATTTTTTTTTTTTAATTTGAATATTCAAATAGAAATATAATATAGTTATAGTACTATAGTAAGTAAGTACATTTTTGTATGATTCATGAGATGGGGATTCTTATTTTCCCCATCGATTCACTTTTATCAATATCAATCAAGAATTTTTTTTTTAGTTTTTAGAAAGAAACTTTAGAAAGCAACTTATACTTAGTATATTAGTTAACTTATACTTAGTATACATTAGTATATTATATAATATACATTATTCATATTAATTCTTCTTGAATTGTGCGTCCCCACCCCAATAGTTATACAGCATTCTTATTGGTTTTGTTGAAATATTTGCAACAAGTATAAACAAAAACAACTCTTTTTTTCTTTCTGTCCGTAGAGGAGCAGATATATAATAGAAAGAAATCAATAGATCACTTGAACTCATTTGTTTGTTTTGTCTATTACGATCCATGAAAACAAAAAAGTATTTGCAATTCCTGATACCAATCCTTCTACTCATTATTTAAGATTCTACATTTAATGAAATTGAAAAAATTGATTTCAATACTTGGTCAAGTCAGCAAGTATTCAATTTATTTGGACTATGATTCGATAATGAGTCAGTCTGTCTTGTGTATAGTAAAGGAAAATGTAATGGATATTCTTATTTTATTTAGAATGAAAGAATATGAACTCTCATTTTTGATGACTTGTAATTTCTATCTATGTTCTATATCTATTTCTATTTTATTTCTACCTATCAGATAGATATACCTCTATATTTTTAATAGGACTCTCACCTCAAATCTTGACGATTGAACATGGATGGGCAAATATTACTTTGATAAAGCCGCCATGGTGAAATCGGTAGACACGCTGCTCTTAGGAAGCAGTGCTAGAGCATCTCGGTTCGAATCCGAGTGGCGGCACCCTCGGACCCCAAAAGGGACACAACAGATCCTATATCCCAAAATTGAAAATAGAATTCAATTCCTTATTTCTATTCCAGAATTAAAGGACCTTCTCTTTTTTTTTACCAAAACGACTTTCTTATGATATTCGCGACTTTAGAACATATATTAACTCACATCTCTTTTTCAATAATTTCAATTGTCATTACGACTCATTTGATGACCTTCGCCCGTGAAATCGCAGGACTATCTGATTTGTCAGAAAAAGGCATGATAGCTGTTTTTTTGCGTATAACAGGATTATTAGTCACTCGTTGGATTTATTCAGGACATTTACCATTAAGTAATTTATATGAATCATTAATTTTTCTTTCATGGGGTTTCTCTCTTATTCATATGATTTCTAAAATACAGAACCATAAGAATTTTTTAAGTTCAATAACCGCGCCAAGTGCTATTTTAACCCAAGGCTTTGTCACTTCGGGTCTTTTAACTGAAATGCATCAATCCGCAATACTAGTACCTGCTCTACAATCCCATTGGTTAATAATGCACGTAAGTATGATGTTGTTGAGCTATGCAGCTCTCTTATGTGGATCCTTATTATCAATAGCTCTTCTAGTCATTACATTTAGAAAAAAGCTAGATATTATTTTCTTATTAATTAGGTTATTCTCTTTTGGTGAGATCCAATATTTGAATGAAAAAAGAAGTATTTTGCAAAACACTTCTTTTTCATTTAGAAATTACCACAAATATCAACTTACTCAGCAATTAGATCATTGGAGTTATCGTGTTATTGGTATAGGATTTACCCTTTTAACTTTAGGTATTCTTTCAGGGGCGGTATGGGCTAATGAGGCATGGGGATCCTATTGGAATTGGGACCCCAAGGAGACTTGGGCTTTTATTACTTGGACTATATCTGCGATTTATTTACATACTAGAACAAATAAAAACTTGCAAAGTGCGAATTCAGCAATTGTGGCTTCGATAGGATTTCTTATCATTTGGATATGCTATTTTGGGGTCAATCTATTAGGAATAGGCCTACATAGCTATGGTTCATTCGCATTAAGGTAAAGATCTAATTGAGAACTTGAGAAAAGATCTTGAAGAAACGATTTGAAAAATACATATTACATATACCCTATGTTCTATTAGAATATAAAAATATAAAAAATAGAATAAATAGAATAGAAATAAATAGAAAATTCGTGCGATTTTTTAAGAATAATTCGAATCAAGTATTGGTTCGAATTATTCTTAAAAACCCCAGATGTACCTAATTAAAATTCCCCTTTTTTAACTTTATTTTAGAGACGAGAGAAGCAAAGACAAATAAAAATACTAGAATACTTCTTTTCTTTTTCCTTTTTCCATTGTCCAGCGAAGGATTCAATAAAAGAAACTTTCAAAGAAAAAAAATTATTTGATTTTTTATGCTATCCATTAAAGTAATTTGCTAAAATAGCTTCTACCTTATCAACTGATAGTGAAAGAACGAAATCAGGATAAATACCAATACCCATTACAGGTAGAAGGATAGAGATTAAAATAAATATTTCTCGCGGTCCAGAATCTACAAAGTAAGAATTTGGAACATTGAATAGTTTGTATCCATAGAACATCTGGCGTGACATAGATAATAAATAAATGGGAGTTAATATCATTCCAATTGCCATTACAACAGTAATTAGTATTTTGGGGATGAAAAGATATTTTGGGCTGGTAATTATTCCCAAAAAGACCAAAAATTCTGCAACAAAACCACTCATTCCTGGCGATGCGAGAGAGGCCATCGAAAAGATACTGAACATAGTAAATATTTTTGGCATTGGTATAGCTATTCCTCCCATTTCGTCGAGATAAAGAAACCGTATTCTATCGTAACTTGTTCCTGCCAAGAAAAAAAGTGCAGCACCAATAAATCCATGAGAAATTATTTGTAAAATGGCTCCATTGAGTGCCGTATCGGTCATGGAACCAATTCCTATGATTGTGGAACCCATATGAGATACGGAGGAATAGGCTATTCTCTTTTTTAAATTGCGTTGGCCAAGAGAAGTTGAAGCTGCATAGATTATTTGAAGGGTTCCCACTATTACCAACCAAGGAGAAAATAGAGAATGAGCATGGGGTAATAATTCCATATTGATTCGAACCAACCCATATGCTCCCATTTTTAATAAGATTCCAGCCAGAAGCATACATGTACTGTAATGCGCCTCTCCATGAGTATCTGGTAACCATGTATGTAGGGGTATAATCGGTGGTTTGGCAGCATAAGCAATAAGGAAGCCGAAATAGAATAGGATTTCCAATCCCACGGGATACGATTGATTGGCTGATGTTTCAAAATTCAACATGGGTTGATTGGAACTATATAGGCCCATACCCAGAACTCCTATTAAGAGAAAAATGGAACCTCCTGCGGTGTACAAAATGAATTTTGTAGCTGAATACAGACGTTTTTTTCCTCCCCACATCGATAAAAGTAGGTAAACAGGAATTAATTCTAACTCCCACATGATGAAAAAAAGTAAAAGGTCCCGAGAAGAAAATGATCCTATTTGACCGCTATACATTGCTAACATCAGGAAATGAAATAATCGCGAATTTCGAGTAACTGGCCAAGCCGCTGAAGTAGCTAAAGTAGTGATGAATCCCGTCAATAAAATGGGACCTATGGAAAGTCCATCAATTCCTAGTCTCCAGTGAAAATCAAAAAGATTTATCCAGTTACAATCCTCTTCCAATTGGATTAATGGATCGTCCAATTGGAAATTATAATAAAATACATAGGTCATTAGGAGAAGTTCTAATAAGCATATACATATAGTATACCACCGAACCGCTTTATTTCCTCTCTGAGGTATAAACAGAATTGAAGAACCCGCGGATATGGGCAAAAGAAGAATCGCTGTTAGCCAAGGAAAATTATTCGTGGTAAAGACAAGATACACTTTGACCAGAAAAACCCGTGCTCGGAATAAAATAATAGATTTTATCTAATCAAGTACGGGTTTTTGTCGGTAAAGAGGAATCAAATGGATTCAAAGGAAGTTTTCCGGAAGATATCAATAAGCTAGACCCATGCTACGAGTGGTCTCATGCCATAAATAAACACGTACACTCAAGAAATCCGTTGGACAGGCGGATTCACATCTCTTACAACCTACACAGTCCTCTGTTCTTGGAGCAGAAGCTATTTGTTTAGCTTTACATCCGTCCCAAGGTATCATTTCCAATACATCCGTGGGGCAGGCTCGTACGCATTGTGTACACCCTATACATGTATCATAAATCTTTACTGAATGTGACATTGGATTTATAAATTTTTGGAACATCATAAATCTTCTATCTGGTAGAATCAAATAATTAGTAAATGACTGATATATTGTGGACACCAGACGAATCAGTGTTTGTACCAGAAATCCTTTTTGTAATCCATTTCTGGGTCTGTTCATGAGATAGTGCCAAGATACTTTGATACGTTTCTGCAGATCGGATGATTCGTATACATTTTGCTAATTAATTGAATCGACTAATTAGTTTAGTCAAAAAATCAATGAAATTCTATAAACTAGAAAAAATTGATTTAATTTAATAAATGAATCAATCGAATATTTGTTATTTTTTCATTGAATTTAGAAATTCAATGAATTTCTATTGAATTTTTCAATTTCATTGATTTTTATTGAATTTCATTTCTATTTAAATGAACATTTCTAGTATAATTTATATTTCTTTTAGTTAGTTTAATATATAGATAATTTAGAGAAGAGAATTTCTTATAGAGTTCTAGAATTAGAATAGCATTCCTAATCCATCGTAATGGTATGATGCATTAATCCATTCCATAAATAAGTTTCTATCGTGGCATATATATGTTATGTTTATGCCTTTCTCTTTCGACTTTATTTCTACTTTAACTTTACTTTAATAGAATAGATTCAACTTTCTAATTTAAAAGAATCAAATATTCTATGAGATTTTCGTATATTGTATATTATATGATTACAACTATTTCTTCAACAAATTTGATTGATTGATACGAGTGGATTTTCTGTTACGATGGATTGATGAAACAATAGCTGGGCCAATAGCTGCTTCAGCGGCTGCAATAGCTATAACGAAGATCGAGAAAATGTCTCCCTTTAATTGTCGACTATCAAATAAATCAGAAAATGTTACGAGATTCATATTAACAGCATTCAGTATAAGCTCAAGACACATAAGTGCTCTAACCATGTTTCGACTTGTGATTAATCCATAGATACCCATAGAAAATAAATAACTACTTAAAACAAGTGCATACTCGAACATCATTGACCAACTCCTCATCAATCTCGATTTATTTCAATATGAAGAAAAATTCAACCAAATTGATTGGCTATAAATATAGATAAAAGATGTCGAATAAAATAAGAAGTACGATACCAAGACCAAGGAAGGTATTGGTAATGAAATGGATCAAACTAAACTAAAAACTTTTCTCTATGTCATATCTTTATATGTAACATGAACCATATTCAAATGGGATTGAGGACGGATCGATGTGATAACAAAAACACAGAACACGACTTTATTTAATTGATTCTAGTATTCATATTTCATTTTATATTTGATTGAATTGACACTTCCAATTTAATTTCTTTCTTTTTTTTTTTTTATTCCGCACGAGCCATAGCAATTGCCCCTACCAAGGCAACTAAAAGAATTATAGAAATGAGTTCAAATGGAAGAAAAAAATCAGTTGATAAATGAATCCCAATTTGTTGTACGTTACTTGTAAGGTCCTGCTCTATGATCTGATTTGATCTTGTAGTCCAAATAATCCCGTACCATGACGTATCTAGAATAGTAGCAATTAGTGAAAAAAGAATACTTGTACAAACTACTGAAGAGATCCCATCTCCAACGGTCCAAAGATGGAAATTATTGTAATATTCTGAACCATTCATGAACATCACAGCAAATATGATTAAGACATTTATGGCTCCTACGTAAATAAGGAGCTGTGCAGCAGCTACAAAATAGGAGTTTGATAGAATATGGAATAAGGATATACGAACAAGAACCAATCCCGATGAAAAGGCAGAATAAATAGGATTGGTAAGTAATACTACTCCTAAACTTCCTAATATAATACCTGAGCCCAAAGATACCAAAAGAATATCATGTATTGGTCCAAGTAAATCCATGATGTGCGAAACAATAAGTCGAAATATTTCATAATCTTACTGACCAGAAAAAAAAAGGAGGTTACCTTATTTTGTTTTTCTTTTTCTTTACGTTCCTACTTTACGTTCCGAATTGAATTTCTCTTAATTTTAATGTGTTGTGGATTAATATTCATGTAGATAGAAAATTTTGGACATTGGACTAATCCTTTTTCTGTATCCAAAAAAAAATTTTAATTTCGGAATAATGACGGATATATGAATAGAGTTCAAATCCAAATCATAGAACTGTGATTCTTATAAAGAAAATATAGTTATGCCTTGTAGTTATTGACCAAACCAAATGAAAGAAACTTCCATCTTCTCGATTAAAACTAGATTCTAGTAATTGGTAATTGTTCTTGAATCAAGGGGTTTATTCATAGCTATTTTTGTTTGATTCGAATTCATAATTGTTTGAATTGTGTAATCTCCAACTACAGGTATTGGTAACCGACCCAAAGCAATTTGATTATAATTCAATTCGTGACGATCATAGGTGGAAAGTTCATATTCTTCAGTCATGGATAAACAGTTTGTGGGGCAATACTCGACGCAGTTACCACAAAATATACAGATTCCAAAATCAATACTATAATTAAGCAATCGTTTTTTTCTAATATCTGTTTCGAATCTCCAATCAACAACGGGGAGATCTATCGGGCATACACGAACGCATACTTCACAAGCAATGCATTTATCGAACTCAAAGTGGATTCGCCCCCGGAAACGCTCTGATGTGATCGATTTTTCATAAGGATACTGAATGGTTACAGGTAAACGATTCGCGTGAGATAAGGTAATCATGAAACTTTGACCAATATATCTTGCAGCTCGCACTGCTTGTTGACCATAATTCATGAACCCAGTCACCATAGGGAACATATTGTTGATATTCATGAATAATCTTTCTTTCTCTTGCTTGAGAGAGATTATGAATCTAGAATCTTCTATTTTATTACATTACAGCGAAAAAAGTTGGGAAGAAGTTGTCAGTAATAGATTACCTAGAGCAATAGGTAAAAGAAATTTCCAACCAAGATTTAATAGTTGGTCCATTCTCATCCTAGGTAAAGTCCATCTTGTTGTGATAGGAATGAACAGGAACAAATAAGCTTTAGCTAATGTAAAAAAGATACTAATTGTTGTTCCAAAAACTCCACCAATTCTATTTATTCTGAAAAGCTCAGGAATTGCTATGTATGGAATAGAAAGATTCCACCCACCCAAATAAAGAACCGTTACAAATAATGAAGAAACTAGTAGATTTAGGTAAGAAGCAAGATAAAATAAACCAAATTTAATACCTGAATATTCGGTTTGATAACCCGCTACTAATTCTTCCTCCGCTTCTGGTAAATCAAAGGGCAACCTCTCACATTCCGCTAAGGAAGAAATTAGAAAAGCTAGAAACCCTATAGGTTGACGCCACAGATTCCACCCCCAAAAACCATATTTATACTGTGCCTCCACTATATCAACCGTACTTGAACTGTTAGATAATCATAGTCGATGATAACATCACTGTTATCATCTCTATTCCAGAACCGTACATGATACCTCGGTTTCATACGGCTCCTCGATGGTCACATAAATCTAAGGACTGAAACCTTAGTCTTGCCTCGGCATATCCGTAGAGTAGAGATGGATCGGAATGTCCGGAATTAGACCAATGGGATTCTGTCCGCTATAAAAAAAAAGGGGGTGCTTCTGAATCTATCTTATCCTTTACCCATTATTTGTTGTTCAGTAATAACTCGATCTTTCAATAAAATACTCGTTGTCTCAAGAGATATTTCGACCCATATCTTTCATCTTTCGATTACGAAGAAAAATAAGTATAGTACAAGGGAACAAGCTAGTTCATGAGGCATGTAATTGATAAGTCATGATAATTCCATCCGGATGAGGATGAATTATTAATAGAGAAAAGAAAAAAGAAAGAAAGATCTCTTAGTATTCATTTTTCTATTGCATTCCCTTCGTTCCTATTCTTCTTTCTCAGAGGGGACTATATAAAGATAAAGGATTACTTCGTTCCTGATAGTTCTTCTTTAACTAGTGGATAGGAATATACTCTGGATCGGGATCATAAGGAAGTACTGCTTGATCATTTCTACCAACGTCAAACCCTCATTCTGATTCCTTTTACTTCTCCTTATGCAGAAATCCATTTTTGGATACGTTACATTATCTACATTACTAACCCTTTGTGCACCTTAGTGTTTCTAACCGTCCACTCACTTTTGATTGATCTCCGCTATGGTAATAGGTAAATACTATAGAATAGGAGAAACTCCATATGGTTGATCTTTTGCTCCCGCTTCAAGCCACGATACGATGACTAATCAACTAATCTTGGGCTTGGGGTAAACAGTTTCCACTGCTTATGTTGGTTCCTCTTGTACATAGGGAATGAGACTCCATTTTCTTACTACAAATCCATAAGCAAAGCAGTTTTGTTTCACTCATATAACTATCTGGTTTAGCTCATCAATCGGAATCATTGAATCAATAACGTAGAATCAATAACGTAGAGTAGAATATATATATATATATATTCTTTATTCGTTCTTTCCTCTGATCCTATACTTTCTTTATATACCTATCTATAACCTAATATTAGATTCTAATACTAAAATACTAAAAAAAGAAAAGACGTAAAAGTTAATGTTCTAACGAATCGCACGTAGAGATATTGATAACACACACAGAGTTAACGGTATTTCATAACTAATAGATTGAGCAGCAGCTCGTAGACCACCTGAAAAAGAATATTTATTATTTGATGCATATCCTGACATAAGAAGTCCAATAGGAGCAATACTGGAAATTGCGATCCATAGAGAAACACCTATACTTAGATCGGCGAGAACAAGGCGATAACCGAAAGGAATTACCAAATGACTTAGTAAAATTGATATGACCACTACAGAAGGCCCGATACTGAATAAACGAATATCTCCTCTAGATGGGAGAAGATCCTCTTTGAAAAGTAATTTGGTCCCATCTGCTATAGCTTGAAGAATCCCCAAAGGACCAGCGTATTCAGGTCCAATGCGTTGTTGTATCCCTGCAGATATTTCTCTTTCTAGCCACACAATAACCAATACCCCTATTGTGATCCCTGATACAGGAGTAAAAATAGGGATAAATAGCCATATCAGACCATAGACCTCTTTTGACGATTCCAATCTGGAAAAAGAATTGATAGCTTGTACTTCTGTCGTATCAATTATCATTTCAACGATCAACTTCTCCCATAATGATATCTATACTACCTAGTATCGTCATGATATCAGCCAATTTCATTCTTTTAACTAGCTGAGGAAGAATTTGCAAATTGATAAGACCGGGTGGACGAATTTTCCATCTCCAGGGAAAAACACTATTATCTCCTATTAGAAAAATCCCTAATTCCCCTTTTGGAGCTTCTACTCTCACATAGAGTTCTTGTTTCGACAATTCAAAAGTGGGAGAAGGTTTTTTACTAATAAATCGATATTCAAAATCATTCCATTCTATATTTCTTACTCTATCAAAGCGTCGGGCTTCTAAATTTTCATAGGGCCCCCCCGGAATTCCTTCTAGAGCCTGTTGAATAATTTTGACGGATTCTATCATTTCACTGATTCGTACTAAATAACGAGCTAATGAGTCTCCTTCTTTTTGCCATTGGACTTCCCAATCAAATTCATCGTAACACTCATAATGATCGACTTTACGAAGATCCCATGGTATTCCGGAAGCTCGTAACATTGGTCCTGATAAACCCCAATTTATTGCTTCCTCTTCAGCAATAAAGCCCACTCCTTCAACTCGTTCCAAAAAGATGGGATTACGTGTAATAAGTTTTTGATATTCAGCAACTTCTGGTAAGAAATAATCACAGAAATCCAAACATTTATCTATCCAGCCATGAGGTAAATCAGCAGCTACTCCTCCGATACGGAAAAAATTATGCATCATTCGCATTCCTGTGGCAGTTTCAAATAGATCATATAGCAATTCTCTCTCTCTGAAAATATAGAAGAAAGGAGTCTGTGCACCGATATCAGCCATAAAAGGTCCAAGCCATAACAAATGAGAAGCTATACGACTGAGCTCCAACATAATTACTCTGATATAGCTGGCTCTTCTAGGTACTTGAATATTTCCCAACTCTTCCGGTGCATTCACTGTTATTGCCTCTGTGAACATAGTAGCTAAATAATCCCAACGTGTTACATAAGGAAGATATTGTATGATTGTTCGATTTTCTGCAATTTTTTCCATCCCTCTGTGTAAATAACCTAATATGGGTTCACAGTCAATAACGTCTTCACCGTCTAGAGTAACTATGAGTCGAAGAACACCATGCATTGATGGATGGTGAGGACCCATATTGACTATCATGAGGTCGTTTCTTGTAGCTGGTACAGTCATATATTTTCTTTCCCCGATTCAATATTTCATTAATTGCTGAAAATGAAACGAAGTTCATCAAAATCCAAGATCTAATGAACCCAATAATTCATCTCAAATACAAATTTTCAAATTAACGAGTCTTTGGCTCCCGAATATTCAACTGACCGATTAATTTCTTATAACGTACTTTATTTTTATTTGACAAATAAGCCAGCATCCGTTGACGTTTTCCCAGAATTTTACGCATACCTCTTTGGGATAAAAAGTCCTTTTTGTGCAGTTCCAAATGTGAAGTAAGTTTCCGTATCTTATCGGTGAAACAGAATACTTGAAATTCAACAGACCCCTTTTTTTCTTCTTTTGAAATAGATGATATAAACGAATTTATGACCATAAAATTCTTCCTTCTTTTTTTCCTTCTTACTTTTCCACAGAGATGGATGGATATATGACTTTTCAATCAGGAAGAATAATGCCAGTCATCTCGATCTAATGCACGCAATAATCTGTTTCAAATATTTTTTTCTAGCAAATTAATAACTAAAATTGATTGATTCGGACACAAAAGAAAAGAAATATTTCTCCATTCACGAAAGAGAAGAATTTGGACCTCAGAATATCTTGTCGATTCATTCCTAGATCCAATTGATGCGTCACTAAATCCGTATCATGTATCGTAGTTTAAGATGGCGTGTGTATCTATCTGTCTTTCTTCATATACACCGGATATAGTACGTGACGTGATAGAGGATAGATAAGGGAATTTAAGATCAACTAATTCCGAATCGTGGATACATACGTATCCTTGACATACTGAAACGAGTACCATTATTGGTATCAAACCAATAGCGATTCATGCAAGCTAAATCTTCTAATCGATGGTTGGGCCAAAGAAACAATTTGAATTTAATGGCTTTATTTGTATCTGTCTCAAGATGCTTGCCCCTATCCAAAAATGGCTTACAGTTCTGTATCTTCTTCCTATTGGAAAATATTATATTTATGTTTCCTTTTCCGGGATTGAGACGACTTAGAATTCTCAATTCTCTACGCCGTCTCAGAGCTGAAATATTTTCAGGAACAAACAAATCATAATTCTTATTGTCTCCATTCACAAACACCCTTCCGTTCCGTGGAATGAATAAATCGAAAAAATTCTCATCAATATATTTTGTTTCTCGGTATCTTCGATCGGTTTGCTGCTTAATCTTATGGACCAATGAAATACTTAGGGTTTGATACATAAGAAATTGTCCATTCCATTTTCTAGATAGACGAAGCGGTTCCATAGTAAATACTCCCCCTTTTTTCAATTTTGTAAGAGGTAGATCCTTATGAATTAGCATTATATCCAACCACATTTCTCCTCTTTGAATAGAGGATATAACAATTTTTTTTGGATCCATGAGTCTAAGCAGGAGACTATATAATTTGATGTTATTGATCATTTTTTTCTTCAAAGAATCATCCCATCTGAATTGAAAAAGTAAATATCTTTTCAGGAGTAAATCCAGTTCTGCTTCCTTGTTGCTCTTGGATTGCTTCTTTTTCCTACTTTTATTAATGTCAGTGTAATCCTCTTGTTCCCTACTCTTTCCTTCTCTGTACCAAACATCTAATTCAACATCTTTTTGGTTTTTTACATCTGATCCAAAATATTCTTGGTATTTAGTATCTGGTCTAAGATCTTCTTGATCCCACCATTTTTTCTCTTCCCGGTCTCGAGTCCCTAATTCCAGATATTTTTTTTGATTGGATAATATACCAAGATCCCTTTTTTTATTTTCATTCATTTTTTGAGTTTCAGTAATCTTTTTCTTTCCATTAAAAAGAAGCAATCTTATGGGTATGGTCCAAGGTTTAGTCTTATATGCGTCATTAAGTAGTACAAGTTCTGGGAAAAACCAAAGCGCCAGATTCGATATGCGACGATATAGTAGTTCTTCATTCATTCCCATCCAATCAAAAAAGTTATTTTCTTTATTTCTAGGGTAAATTTCTTGATAACTCGTGAGATAAATAAGATCTTTCTTATCAATCATTTGATAATAATTCGTTCCAGTATTATTCTTTTTGTTAGTATTGATCCTGAGATCCATATCAGTATTGGTATTCCTTCTAGACCAAAATTTGATGATTCTCAGATCAAAATATTTTCTATCTGTCTTTTTCTCCATATCAACGATAAACCTTTCTTCTAGATAATCGCTAATAGCTGGTAAATTCAATTGTTCATATTTATGTATGATGTGACTATGACTAGATAGAATTAGAATCCTTTGCTCTTCGTTCACTTGTAATAGGGATCTATAAATACTCGAGTTATTTCCAAAATTGATATATCTATATGATAAAAGATCATATCTGTAACGTTTGCTAAGTTTTTTTTTATGATTCTGCAATAAATCCGCTGAATACAAAATATGTCTCTCGTGATTAATTAATGGGTCTTTCTCATATGAATATGAATCGGTTTTTTTCGAATCCTTATTTTTTATCATACACTGTTCATTTACTTTATTTCGCCATTTTTGCGGGTCTAATCTAGACCATCTAGTATAAGAAAAATTGTATTGATAATTACCTATTAACCAGTTTTTCCATTCGTTCATTCCGAAATTACCCGGTTTCTTATGTTTTGATTCGGAATGAAATATTCTTTCTATTTCCAAATAGTCCTTTATTCTATCTTTAATAGAATACGCTCTGCGGTATTGAAATAAAGATCCCAAGCGATACTTCTTAATACCTGGTTTTTGCGATAATTTGTAAAATACATATGCTTGAGACAACGAACAATGAATCTTTGAATTATTAGTCTTCTTATTAGAGATAGTGGAAAGCAGCTTCCTAGTCGAAATAAAGATAAAGTGGATCTTTTTTTTATTCTTTTCATCAATTCCACTTTGATTTTTTTCATCATTGGAAATGTATTTATCTATAATCTTTTTTGTTGATTCAAGAAAAAGTTGTGTATTGATCCTAGGGAGGTTAATCATACATAGAAAGACATTTCTGTGTATTCTTTCAATGAAACTTTTCATAAAATAGCGCCATTTATAGAGTAATCGAGTACTTCTTCTTTTGGATACTTGCCAAATAGGTTTCTGTGATTCCGATCTTTTATCACTATAACTTGTCTCATTAGGACTGATATTCATATCTATAGTTAGGAAATTTGTTTTCTTGTCTCTTGTGATCCTGATCCTTTCTATTTGATCTCTGATTGTGGTTGTCTTATCAGACAGATCCTTTCTTTTTCTTTCTGTCAGTGAAGAATTTGTCCAATCCATCGATCCAGTTCTAATAGGTGATTTTCTAATAGGTGATTCAGAAATTGTCTTATTATTACTTATGGAATCTTTCCTATTTTCACTTCCATCATAGACTCTCTTTAGTCCGAATAAGAAAACGGGATTTGCTTTTGTAAGTTCTTTCATTACTCCTTTTATAAATAGAACTCTTTTGATAACCCATATTTTTTTTTCTTTGAAAATTCTTACAAATAAAAACCATTTCTTTTTTCCTTTTTTAAACTTTTTTTCAAGTTCTTTATGAATAGGCTCAAAAAAGGAAGGTCCCTTTCGGGCAGGACCAAAGGGTAGGTCAGTTTCCATTCCCCAGACTGTTAAAAAACAAGAATTTTGTTTTTTTCTTTTTTTCATCGGATGATCTATATGATGGGATCGTAGTTTAGATTTGCGCCAAGGTTTCAAATAGAAAGGAAATAGAATCTTTATCTGAATACCGGCTTTTAACCAATTCTTCGGAAATTTTCTTTCTGATAATTGAACACCATGATAGGTG